AATCAACAATAAATTCCATGTAGTCAACAGGTTCGCAGAAAGTAGAAATCTACTATACCAATATGAATTAGGAGACGCAGTATTAAACACAGCAAATAGGGAGGGGGGGACTTTTGGTAATCATTAATCTGAGCCCAAAATGATCATATAAATGAAAGGTACATAAAATGCAAGGGCTGATTTTAAAAAAAGGGCATTCGTGTATGTGGACAAAGTTATGGTAAAGATCACAACAGCCATCATAAAGACTTACAGCCGGTTTGTTAAAATTATGCCAGGCCCGAACCAGTGAATTTTCATAAATACAGACGCAGAAATAAAGGCATATTTGTCTATATATCTGATAGATATGCATTTAACTATCTATTTGCCCGGTTGATATGCATGCCTAGACTAATGAATATTTATTTATTTATTTATTTATGCATGTCAAGTATATTAATATTCTTTGGGTCGGGCCTCGCACAATTCTGACAAACCGGCAGCTAGTCTAGAGTACGGTGCAGTGGTATGGAATCACACTAAATAAGGGATATAGACAAACTGGAAAGAGTTTGAAAGGAAGCTACAGTGGCGGTTCCTACTCAAAGAGATATGAGCTACGAAAATAGACTACAGAAAATAGGACTTACTACTTTGGAAAAAAAGAAGGAAAAGGGGTGACATGATTATGCTCTTCAACTCTATTACAGGAAGAGTGAAATTAGACAGTGACTATAATTTTCAACACAAGAATGACGAGAAGTCACAGTAAAAAGTTGAAAAAAGAATCGATAAAGATCTCAAAAAGTTAAATTTTCCAAACAGAACTACTGAAACATGGAACAGTCTTCCAATTAACGTTGAGTGTGACTAAAATGGGTATCAGTCTAAAAAGGTATTCGAAAATTTAAATATAGCAGACAGGACCATCTGAGCTCAGCTCTTCTCCCGTTTTGAAACAACTAAGTAAAGACAGACATAAACACATACACACGTTTATGTGTGTGTGTATATATATATATATATATATATATATATATATATATATATATTATATATATATATGTATATGCATGTACTTTAATATACATATTTATATATTTGCTTATATATGTATAACAGCTATGTGATTTTATAGAAATATGAATATTCATTCTTCCGCAATAGCCTTCTGCCAAGATAGATAAGTATATCCCAAATCTGAATCCATTCTTCGTTGCATCCGATCAGTGCCATGATTCGCTCCGATTCGGTGTCCAAGCGACCGCCTCCGATGGTTTGTAAACATTGAGAATATTTTTCTTTGATGTCCAATTACTTTCAGGAAGCGGTGAGATTCTCATTATCTTTCTGTTTAACATTAATCATCTCTGCCATTGTATCTACACTGTGGATAGGGAAATGCTTAGATTTACTAGTAGTGCGTGGCTAAATTAACTCGTTTTAGCTCTGTAATAAAGAGTTGATAATTCCGTCCCTGCAGTGACCTGTGCTGGTATCATTTCAGAACCGCAGTTCCTGTTGCTTGTTTGCCACTAATTAATATCAGATTCTCATGTTTCCCCTTGGCAATGTTTTGTGGTTTTGTAGTTCTAGTTTCGGACAGCCATCAGGTACTACTTATTAGGTGAACAATAGCTTTTAAGTGTAGAGATTGAATTAAGCATCTCTGTCACATTACTGGTAGATGTAGAAAAGAGAAGGAAGTCCTTTCATAATTGTCAATAAATACCTGTGTAATATAGGTATCTAATACTGGTAGTGTCTTCTAATTGACATGGACTCTGAACGTAATGCCCCAGCAAAATATAATGAACATCCTCCACACATACTTTGGTGAAATAGAGAGTGAACAGAATTCTTATCAGACAATAAGTTTCATGTAATACAGTTTGTACAGAAATGTAAGTTGTGAGGTGGAAAAATACTTATTATTTATTCAACTGCATATTAATGAAAATAAGGTTTTACTAATATTTCATGATATTGCCCTTGGGCTTCAAACATTCTGCCAGCCTCCTAGGAACAGAATCAGTAGAATTGTGCAGTTTACCGGGGGAATGAGATCCAAGCTTCCTAGATAGCAGTTTCGAGCTTTGGGAAAGATCACACGTCAGTGTCATACTTAACTTCACAATCATGAAGCCACAGGTTCACTGATTTTGCCATATGGCAAGAAGCACCATCCTGCATGAAAATATCTATGTGGGTTATCTCAAATGAGCTTGGTAGATAGTTGCAGAGAAGCTCCTAAGTAATTATTATGGTTCATCATCTCATTGGCAGGGAGAAGTACAAGATCTCCAACACCGTTATAAGTGACCTTAAACTAGCCTATGAGGGAAGCAGGGTGTTTTACCATCTTTTTAGTACACTGCTGGAGGTGAGCATCAGAGCAGTGCCTGTAGATCCTTCTTCCACTGCTGTCAGTCATGGCAAACATTGCCTCATCTGACCAAAGATAATGGATTCTTTGTGATGTACACTGTCCAAATATGATAGATTTATTCTGTGGAAATGAAACTTAGATGCCTAATAGTTCAGAGTTGGAAAATCAAATGATTGCCACTGTTTCCACCTCTTGTACTCTAGCAAAGGCCAGCAAACTCCACCACATATAGGCCTATTCTGGTTCCTTTTTTGACATTATATATTCAAGGAGCTATGATCTTGGCATAATGTATGTGCTAGAGGTTTATTTTCCTTATTTGCAGTGATGGTCTAAGTCTCTGTAGTTGTTCTTTTAAATATCAATTATTAATGTTATCCTTCATTTTTACAAATTAGTGTTGGTTTACTGTTTCTGTGTGAAGTTTCTGTTATGTGACTTTAGTGGCTTACCCCGCTCCCCCAACCCTCATATCTTGGGGTTCTATATGCAAACACTCGTGCATATAGAGATACACATTCACAGATACCCCTCGCCCTCCCTCACACACACATCTAAATACTTATACATATCTAAACACACATACACACACACAAAGAAAGAAAGAAAGAAAGAGAAAGAATGAAAGAAATATACACAGGGATGGGTATGTGTATATAATGTGTATCTAAAATTTACTGATTATGTGTGTGCTTGAATGACTGACGGGTGCAAGACAAAGTCAGCAAGTAACAGTTTTTGCATGATCCAAACATGGGCCTATTGTTAAATGCTAATTTGCTCACAAATATGTTTACATAAATAGAACAAATGTGGTTTTGTGATATGTATATTTTTCTTCTTCCTTTGCTCTGTCTTTTGAATCACAGGATTATTTCTAAGACACTGATTATTTTTCTTTGTTACAGGTTTCAAGTGATATGGCAAGACATCGGAGACAACCATCAAAACTTACTGTAAATGCCAAAAAGACGAGACACACAGCCAGTAGCAGCTAACTGAAAAGATGTCAGGTCTTCACTCAGTTACAGAAGTCACTGAAATGACTTCTCGGACAAAGCCAGCGCAGTCTGCAAGAACAAATCTCCCGATAGTGGTGAGCGAAGGTGTTTATGATGACCCTCTTGGTGGAGATCAGCAGTGCTTCGTTCTTGTGGATGAGAGGACTGTGGGTGTTATGCCTGGTGTTTCGACAGTGCAGAGTCTGCTCTCGGACCAAGATGCTGTCATGGGTGTTGGCAATGACAAATCTGTTCAAGTGATGCAGGTTGAGAACAGCAAATTAGAGATGGTGAACATGCGTGACAAGGAGACTGTCGAAATGATGCACATGCGTGATGGAAGCACAGTGGAAGTGCTGCAGATGGAAGATGGCAAAACTGTTGAGGTTGTCCAAATGGATGGGGGCAAGACCTTGGAAGTTATGCATATTGACAGTAGCAAGCATCCTGAAGTAATCCATGTTGACGGTAGCAGTGGGATTGAAGTGTTGAATGTCAATGATTCACTTAAAGGACCAATTGTAACAAGTGCCTCATCAACTGTGTTTGGTCAAAGAAATACCAAGTGCATTTTTTCTAGTGAGGAGTCAGAGAATGTAGCGCCTGTGGCAGTCAAGAGAGTCATCACTTCGCAAGGGAACCAAGACACAACCAGTCTAAGTCTCAGATCACTAGCAACAGTCAACCCTTCTATTGTTTTGTCAACGTCAAAGAGTAATATATTACCCTCCCAAGAGTATCCCAGAATAACATCTAGTACCACTCTAAGCAGCAGAAGAGACTCACAGGTTATCAGAACACATGAGTTGCAGACCATCACCCATGTTAACTCAAACATTGTCCTGTCTGGTAGTAAAGAAGTATTTTCTGGTAATGTTGATGATTTGAACAACACCATTATAATTTCATGGCCCACAATACCAACAGAACCTGAAAACACAGTTGCCACGCAGACTGAACCGTGCCACGATATAGGTCCAAGTATGAACCTCTTTTTCTGCACGTTTTATCAAGATGGAAGTGTTCAAACGCAATGTGACATGCCAGTGCAGCAGCATGTGGGCGTTTCTACTGTTATTAGTGGCAGCTGCAGAGGACAGACGAACAGAGCAGCAGGAAGCATGTCTAGGGATGATGGAGGGACAGCACTGAAGATGGAAAATCTAAGAGGATGTGAATCCGAATCAGGTGGTGGGTATTTGTGTCTTAGAAGCCTCAAGCTTTGAAGCATGTAGACTGTACAAATCCTTGAAATTTTAAGACTCCAAACATATACCCATGACTACTGGTATTTGATAATGATGATAATGACAACAACTATTATTATTATTATTATGAATATGATTATGATTATAATTGTAATTATTATTTTCATCTTTAACTTCTTTCCATCTTCATCATTATTATTATTATTGTTATTATTATACCTATTTTTATCATTATTACTTATTATCATTATTATAGTAATAGTAGTATTTTTATTGATGTTATAATAATTATTTTTACTACTATTTCCATCATCATTATCATCATTATTTGTGCTTTCATCTTTATCATTATCATTATCCATTCTCATTATTTTGCAGACCCCCAGTACTCGAGAAGTGGCAGAGTTCTGAAGCGGAAAGAGGCAGCTCTGAAGGCAGAGCCAGGCGACGATGAGGTGGGGGATCCTAATTTTGAGCTCCTTGGGGATGAGGAAGAGGAGGAAGATTCAGGAAGACAGATTACTGGAGAAAACAATGTATTTAGGAAGAAGAGAGGGAGGAAGAAGAAAAGAAGATTACCCTCAACTGAGGATTTCGAAGACGAGTTTACCATACCTGCAAATAAGGAAGATGTGAAAGACGTAGCTGTCAAAGAGGAACCAGTTGAAGTAGACGACAGTGAATTGGCTTTGGAAATATTACGGACAAAAGGTTATGGACTAAGAACCAAGAGACGGCCAAAGAAACTCAGTGACATGCACTACATAGAGGAGAAGGTGGTGAAGAAGAGAATCGATAGAAATCAAGAGTTTTCCTGCCAGATCTGTTCCCAGGTGTTCCCCACATTCACGAGACTACAGCGCCATGCCAAAGACGAGCACGACTCATCTGAATTTTCCTTTCCTTGTGATCTGTGCGGTGTTGTATTCACAAGGCCCCAGAATCTGGAACGGCACAAGGATACGAAGCATGGTGATGGGGAGAGGCGGTTTGTGTGTGAACACTGTGGCAGGAGATTTGCTCGTCATGATGTGATGACAGTTCACATTTCAATGGTTCATATAAAGAAGACTTTACAGGGTAAGAAAGGACCAGTAGTTATTGGACCAAATACCTTCCATTGCACAAGTTGTGATAAATTTTTCTCCAAGGAGCAGAAATTAAGAGATCATAAACAAGGTGACTTAACATGTAGTGATTGCTCAATATCTTTTGAATGTAAAACTTCCCTGAGAGTCCATCGTTATAAGCATCACCCAACAGCATGTAGTGAATGTGGGAAAGTGTGTGACAGTAAACAACAAATGTACTTCCATAGACTGTCTCATGATCCAAAGTTTGTTTGTAAATTTTGTAAGAAAGGATTTATTTGGAAATCTCAGTACACTGTCCATTTAGCAACACACACAGGAGAGAAACCGGTTGTCTGTGACTTGTGTGGGAAGGCATTTGCTCACAAGCTTGCAGTTAGCAAGCATAAATGGCAGGAACATAATGAGAGTAATAAGAAATTCAAGTGTCAGACATGTGGGAAGTCTTTTGTATATAAAGCTAAGTTACAATCCCACATTCGTAGCCATACAGGGGAAAAACCGTTCATGTGTCACCTTTGCCCATCCTCATTCTCGCAGCGTTGCAACCTGACTGCACATATAAAGAGTGTTCATGGTGTGTACATTCAGTCTATCAAAAGTGATGGCACTACTCACACGCAGTTAGTTAAATACAAACGAGCTAAAAAGACGGCACCTGTAGAAGCCCCTCCAGCTGTTGTTAACACTGTTGTGATGCCCTCCGTTGAAGCCCCCGTGCCTGATCAACCTCAAGTAGCTATTCAGGAGGAAATGCCAGAATCTTTTGAGACAGAGGCAGCAGTATACCAGATTGTTTATGCATACCCACAGGAACAGGTGTAACAAAATAGAATTATGCAATTTTTATGTGAGGCTGAAAAATAAGTAAAAATATATAGATGGTACTTTCTGTAAATTAATCTATTATGTTAATACTTGTATAGCTTTATGAGTTATAATGACATTCATACTGAATGGATAGTATTTAGAACTTTGAAAAAAAGTCCTGTATGTTTTCAAGTGCTTAAAAATGTTATGTTGATGTTCATGATCATTCAGGGATATGCAAATAAGAGATAATAATTATTATTGACAAGTGAATTTAAGTTTAATTTGAAGTAATGATTTTGTAAATCTTTTTATGATTTATTTTTTTCAGCCTGGAAGGTTGTCAGTTTTAGACGCTACCTGTATTTTATAGTCTAAAACTTAAACGACAAAGAAGTTAACTTGGTTCATGAGACCAGTATATTTAGATGGAGGATTATTCACCCAAAAATAAAGCTATGTCCATTTTACCAAGAGTTTATCTGTCAGTGTGTATGGGTCTGAAAATATTATCAAAATCATGCATTTGCTTGAAATTGTACCAAAGTTATTTTGTACACAATTTAGATATTAATGATTTATTTTTTCTACATCTTTGTCCCCTGTTGCTCAGTTAACTGAAATCTAGGTCTTGAATGTTATTTGAGTAAATACTAACACGGTAAATACTAACCCTTCCAAAAGATTGTTCTTCCTATTCAGTTTTTATATTTTCACTCGTGGGTTTCATATTCTATAATTGCAATGTACAAAAAGAAAATATGAAAAGAGCAATATACAAACTTCTACATTTCCCTTTGTTCCCTCTTTACTTCAACAAAGGTAATTGCCCAATGTATTTCACTTGACATTGAACTCCTATTATATGAAAAGTGTAGGAGAGGTATTCTGTAGATTCAAAAGGTTGACATTAATTTGTATACAGATTTGATACGGTTCCAAGGAGAGGTTATAGCTTCAACAAGGATTCTTTGTGTGCGTGCATGTGAATGTGTGAATGTCTGTGCATGTGGGTACTTGTGTGTGTGTAAAATCAGTGGTGACTTAAACGGATCAGGTATATTTCTTTGGAAATGAAAATGTTGGGAGGAGGCTTTAACATTCTCTTGTTAAGTCATACCATTAAATTTGTTTAACAATTTGTAGAAATGTATTGATTGATGGTATGTGCATGTGGCAGGTAAATCACTCGTTTGAACAAGTGTAATTCTTTGTGGCCACCAACAATATATTTTTTTAATCATAGTAGATTAAAAAAAACTCTGAAATAATGGAAGATGATCTTCCTTTATGTAAAGTGAGTAGTACTGAATGATTATCATTGTGAGATTATTCTTAATATGATATTAAATTGTTTATGTAAAGCTTGTATCATTCCTAATGTATTTCATATCATTCCTATGCAAATGTCTTTTATTGATTGTGAATAGATTTTTTATCTTTTTATCTTTAGTTCTTCTACTTGGAAATCTATTATTTTTCTAATTTCAAGTCTTGGTGTCTGGGCATAGTAAGAAATCTTGAGAAAGAAATATATTGTGTTATAATATAGTGTGCCTTATTTTGGAATAATAAAAGAAATAGCAAAAACAAATGAACAAAAGATATCAACATAATTTCCTGTGATATTGTAAGTATATTATAAACCTAAATGTCGTATGTGTAATAAAAAGTATTAAAAATTAATTAGAAATTATTACATCTGGAAATTTGAGAATAATGGCAAAGATACATTATAGAAGTTACATAGAAGTTACATACATACATGTACATATATATATATATATATATATATATATATATATATATATATATATATATATATATATATATATATATATATATATATATATATATATATATATAATATATATATATATATATATATATATATATATATATATATATATATATATATATATATATATATATATATATATATATATATATATATATATATATATATATATATATATATATATATATATATATATATATATATATATATATATATATATATATATATATATATATATATATATATATATATATATATATATATATATATATATGTATATATATATATATATATATATATATATATATATATATATATATATATATATATATATATATATATATATATATATATATATATATATATATATATATATATATATATATATATATATATATGTATATATATATATATATATATATATATATATATATATATATATATATATATATATATATATATATATATATATATATACTGTACCAACTCTGACTCTGGACCAACGGTGGGCCTTGCTAGTCCTCCCCTAAGTTCAGCTCATGGTCAGTGCTTGATATAAATGAAAATGCCTGGGGCTCCTCCCACCCAGCAAGTGAGGCAGGCTGTGGGTCGAATTGGGAAGTTGACTGCTTGGGCTAAGGATGGGAACGAGTATTACTTGTCCTGTGCTCTGGCAGCCGCCAACCAAGTGGGAGGCCTATGGGACACAGCCCTTTGGAACCCCACAGATGGATGTTGCCCCTTTAATATGGGGCAACGTCGGCGGGGTTAGCAGAGGTGGCATCTACCTAGAGCAAATGACCGAGGTTTAACTTCAGGCGAGCCATATGGGCGGGAGCTTGGAACATCCCTTTTTTACGGCAGAATGATAGATTACCTCTGCTGTCGAGGGAACTGAAGTGGCTTGGAATTGAGGTGGCTGCCCTCTCGGAGGTGTGGAGACCTGGCAGCGGCACGATCAGCATGAGGAGGTACACCTATTACTTATCGGTCTGGGGTGATGGCCATCATATCCAGGTAATAGCTATAGCCACCTCCAGCCGACATCAGCCTTCGGTAGTAGAAGTGTTTCCAGTTGATGAGTGTATTATGGCTTTGAGACTGAAGCATACTTTTGGCTTTGTCTCTTATTGCTGTGTACGCTTCTAACGATGTATGTAAACTCAATGTGAAAGAGGTGTTCTATACCAAGCTCACATCTGTGGTAGACAAATGTCCCCAGCGAGGCATTCGTATAATACTGGACGACTTCAATGCGGTATGCATGGGCTGGATAATGTGCAGAGCTACTATCCAAAGTCAGTGTGAAGCAAGACTGGGCAATGCCAAGGTCACGGATCTTGGCCTAGCCGACGATGTTGCTATTTTATCCGAGTCTCTGGAATCTTTGATGGCGGCTCTTGATGCATTCAACAATGAGGCGAAGCCCCTGGGCTTGCAGGTCTCCTGTAAATGACACAGAAGTCACAGAGAACTGTACATACCTTGGTAGTCCAGTCAATGTCTCTGGTCTGTCAGACCAGGAAGTCAGTAGACGGAATAGTCTAGGAGCCATGACTCAATCAACAAGGGTATTTGGAGGTGACATCACCTATGAAGAAGGCCTAAGTTACGTGTCTTTAAGGCCTTGATACTGCCAGTTTTGCTCTATGGAAGCGGAACTTGGACGCTATCTAGTGCCTTAGAGTTACGTCTCGATGACCTTTGTAACAAGTCCCTACGCCGGGTCATGGGATACAGTTGGCAGGACCATGTGTCCAACCGACGATTACACTGTGAGACTGGCTTGGGTCGTGTTTCTTGCATAACCTGTGACCGCCAACTCGAACTATAAGGCCCAAGTTACCCTATGGATAACCCTGTACCTTTACACAGATACCTCGGTAACTGTTTGCATTACTTGTACAGGAATCAACAAGTGGAGTATGGATAACACACGAAAAATTCCTGCACATCAACATCTTGGAGCTCAGAGCGATTCGACAAGGCCTCCACTTCACAGGCATTTTACAAGGATAAACGGTTGCTTTGGTCTCGAACAATGAACAAAGCCACAGCACTATCATATCTGGCCAAGGAAGGGTGTATGCGTTCCACAATATTCAATAAAGAAGCTCAAAAGATTTTAGAATGGACAGAGGAACATGTTGTCAAGATCCTCACTCAGTTTGTCAAGGGGACCTCCAATGTGTTAGCGGACTGCCGCAGCAGACACAATCAGATCATTCCTAGAGTGAACCCTTCATCAGGATAAGTGCAATCTTGTGGATATTTTGGCTGCAAGATTGAACTTAAGCTACAGAACTTCATGTCAGCTTTCCGAGACCCAAGAGCGATCGCAACGGATGCGTTCTTATACAACTGGAACCACCACGAACTGTATACCTTCCCTCCTTTTCCTCTTGTCAGGAATATGCTGAACAAGTTACAAACCTCTCAGGGCACCACACTCATTCTGATAGCTCATTTTGGCCACAAAGGGAATGGTTACCAGACCTTGTTCAGGAGACAGTAGACACGCCTCGACACCTTCCACATCGCATGGGCATACTACGACAGACAAATGCCCGCAGGTTTCATCAGGCTATCAAGCAATTCCTCCATCACAGAGACTCTTCCAAGAGTCGCTCATTCCAAGCGACATTCAATTATTATGAATTATCAAATCAAATGGAAGAAGTATAGTCAATGGTACAAGAGAGAAGGCCATTCCGTTTCAAACTAAAGTTTGCAGACTTCTGTGACAAAAATGTAACTTTTCTGTTGGTATTTTTTTATAAGGGATTCGATTTGTCCAATGACCAATTCCTCCTCATCAAAGCATGTTCATAATCCAACAGACCAGTTAGCAGGACGCCATCATGGAATGTGGACGTAGTGCTGAAGGACTTACCACGTCCACCCCTTGAACCCTTGCATGAGAGATTTAACCAAAAGATCCCTTTTCTGGTAACCCTAGCCGCAGCAAAGGGTCGGAGAAATTCAGGCTCTTTCCAGTACTATTGCCAAGCATAGGGGGACCTCTTACTGTCTTATCTTCCTGAATTCATAGCTAAGACAGACAACATTAACCCCATTCCAAGGGAATTCCGTTGGCGGAGTCTTTCTACAACCGTTGGGAGGGAAGATGAGGAATGTCTGCTGTGTCCAGTAAGGGTTTTGAAGTGGTACCAGCACGGAACACCTTTCTCCACAAGACCTGGGCCTCTTTTTCTCTCCGTTAGAGATCAAACCAGGCCTACAGAGGCAGCGATTTCCTTCTCTCTTAAACAGACTATTAAAACAGCTCTTGGGTCCTTTCCAGACTATGCCCATCCATCAAAGGACGAGCATATACATAGGGATAGCCACCTCCTTGCGTCTATGGAAGAGTAGACCAATTGCTTCCATTCTGAAGGCAGCCTGCTGGAAGACCCGTCCATTATTCGCAGACCATTACTTGAGGGACATTCAGAAGCAATAAGATTTGTAAAGTTCACAGGTAGATTTTAAAAATACATACCTTCTTCTTTAGACAAATAGGTAAATCATGTAATTGGAATCCAAATCCAAGCAAATATGTGGATTGGACACAATTATTTGTTTAAAGATTCTGTATCCTTTTGAGCAAATATGTTTAGACGAATATTCATAGCTTATGTGTATATACAGGATATTGTATCAATTCTATTTATAACTTTGATCCTTTCTTATATAAAGTTATATATAACCCACAATTAAATATGGATGAATTCTTAATCATGGAATTAATAAAGTCACCTGTATTTTAGACATATCTACATCAGTAGATATACATTTATTCAATGTTTTATCTAGGTAACATCAATATCTCTAATTCTTATTCAATATTCTTTATTTTGAAAAGATATAAAAACATTACACATTCTCTATATATGGCAACACACTTTAAACATATGAAAAGGGGGGTTAACAAGATTTGTTTTTCTTCACTTATTCTTTGGGATTGTCTAAATAAAAAGAAAAAAAAAGAAAGAAAAGAAAACATTAATTCATATTTTCTAAATAAATACCCAGTAGGAAATCACAAGCACAACTTTTCATGATCAAAACCTTCAGCTTTACTTCTCACTAAGGACTAACTAGTGAACATATGATATTTAGACACACACACAGCCACAGGGGCGTCATTGGTGGTGGTGGTGGTGGGGGGGGGGGGGGGGGTGCGCGCGTGAGTGGGAATGGCCCTGCGGCAAAACGACACAAACTTCTACACTATCCTAGCATTTCGCAGCTTCACATCAACTAACAGTCTGTAAGGTAAACAAGCAATTTTAATGATTAGAGATATTTGTGTACTTCGTTCTCCAATCCTTTTTTCCTTTTCTTTGAACGCAGATGCGCGATCATGCTCACGGTGTCGAAAAGATGCACACATGATTGAAAAGGCTGCATGCGTTGGGACATCAAATCAAAGAGTTAAGTCTGGCATATAGACGTGTGTACACACGTATATTATATATACACACACACACACACAAATATATATATATATATATATATATATATATATATATATATATATATATATATATATATATATATATATATGGAGATAGAGAGATATAGAGGAGAGAGAGAGAGAGAGAGAGAGAGAGAGAGAGAGAGAGAGAGAGAGAGAGAGAGAGAGAGAGAGAGAGAGAGAGAGAGAGAGAGAGAGAGAGAGAGAGAGACTACGCTATTACGAGATGCATTTCAATTTGAACTTTTTATGAAGAACTCTTGACGAATTCGAGACGTTACTTTCTCATTCCGTTTCTGTTGCGACCTGGTTTCATTTCATCTCAGCGTACACGTCCCTGCGTCTGCATCTATTTAAACGACGCACAGTGGTCCAAAATCGCGCAAATCTGGTCAAAACTCTCCTTAAAAGGCATCTCAGTTGCAACTACACAAGTATACATATTTCGTAAGTATATACCATCTTTACAGCGGTCCATGGCCCCCTTAAACTCACAAGTAATATAATCTAAATATGTGATATTGGAAAATACATATTATCATAAAGCGACGTGAGATTACAGATCCAAGCGTTTGTTTGCGTTCTCCTAGACATATCATGCGTTCGGGGCGATGAATCCGGTGATCCAGTCTAAATAGGAGGAGACCCTCGTGTAGATGCCGAGACGCCCACACCCTTGGCCGAAGCTCACCACGCCCACGACGGTGTGCTCGCAGGAGACGCCGTTACGGGGAGCTTGGTAGATCATGGGTCCTCCGCTGTCGCCCTGGGGGGAAGAGGGCGTGGTCAGTCAGCAAGAGGGCGTGGTCAGTTACAGTGTGGTTATCGAAAATCATTTTTATCTGTATACGTTTTTTTTCCTCTTTGGGAGGGTTTGCTATATCACTTCCATTACGATTTTTTCCCAAATATACCATAAGACAATAATAATAATGATACTACTGCTACTACTATTACTACTACTACTTCTAATACTAATAACGAGCGTAGAGTTCAGACGAAACTCTACCTGGCACGAGTCCTTCCCAGGGGCGCCGGCGCAGATCTGGTCCTCCATGAGACCCAGGGGCGTGCTTCTGCCATACAGGTCTGGGGTGTGGTACTGGCACTCGAGGAGGTCGATGACTGGCACTGTCACCTTCCGCAAGATGTCTGTGATGGCTGGGGCTCCTGCGAGGAAATTTGGGGAAAAGTATGTATATTAATCAGGCAATGGGGATACTTTGTCTGGTTCTCTCTTTTTTCTGTCTATCTGTCTGCCAGGCTCTCTCTCTCCTGTCTCTCTCTTTCTCTTTCCTCTCCCTCTCCCTTTTCCCTCTCTCTCTCTCTCTCCCTTCCCTCTCTCTCTCTTCTCTCCTTTCCTCCCCCCCCCTCTCTCTCTCCCCCCTCTCCCTCCCTCTCTCTCCTTTCTCCTCCCCCTCCCCCCTCTCTCTACCCCCCTCTCCGCCTCCTCTCTCTCTCTCCCTCTCTCTCTTCTCTCCCTCCTCTCTCTACGCTAACTCCTCCTCCTCTCCCTCTCTCTTACCTACGCCAGTGTATCCCCATCCTGCTACGGTGACCTTTTCGCCAACGTAGTCCTTCTCGGGGTCAGTAGGCAGGCAGGCCGGCAACACGCTAAGGGTGAAAATTGCCTGCGAGCGAAAGAGGATAGTGGGTAATGACCGTAATAAGGCAGTTTTCAATTTCGTTTTCCCCAAAAAAGATATCTTCCACATGAGGTCGGAATATAATCATGTATATAATAAGAGAAAAAAGATAAATTAAAGACAGACAAGATACATCAGCATCCGTATGAAAGAAAAAGAAAAAGAAAAAAAAAAAAAAAAAACCACGCGAACCACCTAACGACTCATTCAGAAAAAGTATGAATGAAACGAGTAAATATTGACATTTTTTTCAACTCCGTTCTCAATTCACACCTTTCCCAACCCGTCTCAGTGACCCCGCCCACCCACCGGCTTCTCGAGAGCTATAAGGGCGATGTCGTAGTACTTGAAGTGATGATACTCCGGGTGCAGGATGAAGCGGCCCCTCAGGAGCTGCTCGACTTTACTCGACTCCGTCTCATCCTGGCGAAGGGACTCGACCTTGTGGAGCGACGAGGGCAAGGTGCCTCTCACCCTCGAGGCCACGTTCGGGTTGTCGTGTTTGAGGTCGTGCTCGCCGAGTTTGACAAAGTACTGCTTGCCTTGCCTGGTGAGGGAAAAGCGAATGAGTGAATGAATAAACATGTCCATATGA